AGGCAAAGGGAGTGGTGGGGGATAAACACTCAAAGAATTTTCTAATAGTTTTTCTTTTAATTATTGTAATATTAAACGAATAGAAAAAGAAAATATTAGGGTATATCCATCATTTTAAATATTTTAAACTATTTTGGACCAAAACGGCAACAAAATATTTATTTTGGACTAGTGGTACAACTAAAAAATATCTTGGAACAAAGTCTCAATTTTTGCAAACCATAGGGACCAAATTCACAATTTTGTCATTTATTTATAAAGTTTTTCGATTTTCTATGTACAAGGGTACTTCCATATCTTTGATCATAAGTTTAGGGGGTTTATCGTAAATTTGTTTTGTGCCCAAACGTGTTGATCAACGATGTTCGGTAACTAGAATTCAAATGCCAGAGCCCAGAACCACAACCAAATCAATGACAATGCTCAATGCTGTGATGTGATCACATTGTGGCGGCAACACAATTAGCGAGCGCGAAACAGACACTGATCGATCGAGAAATCTGACGAGAGAAGCAAATAAAGAAGGCGGAATCAAGCGCCACAGATGGCGGAGGACGGAGGAGGTGGATGGTTTCCGCCGATGGATCTATTCCGTTCAGAGCCCATGCATTTGGTACAACTCATCATTCCTATTGAGTCCGTTCACTCGACAATCTCTTACCTCGGAGATATCGGCCTCATTCAATTCAAAGATGTCTGTATCCATCTCTCTCCTCTCTCTCTCTGATAATGCATTGTTCTAGATAGTTATCATAATCACAATATATATTATTATCGTAGCGTATTTTGGTGCATTAGGTTGAAAATGATAGTAATTCCGAAGGTGATTTACTGAAATTAAGCTTTTGCTTGTTCGAGGACTTTTGAGTGAATGACCTGAAAGTTGCCATTAAGTAAATTGAGCACCACGGAGGTTTTCTTCCAACCGGATGTTTATGGTTTTTAGAAATTCAGACATATTCAAAATTTCTTGCTAATCAGGAGCTCATAGGAAAATCTGGTTACGATAAAACTTCTATTTAAGTTCTGTAATTAGTTATTGCATTCTTTCCTCTTCATATTCTAATTGATATTAAGTTGTTAGCGTTTATGTGCTAGTAATTAGCTTTCCAATCATACAAAATTGAGTATAATTAGTTATATATAAAAGGCTATTAAGAAGTTTAAATTAGGAGCTGTGCTATTCATACTTTTGCTAACAAAACATTTTAGTGTGTTCTTATAAGTTCCTGATAGGTTAAGTGGAAAATTTTGCTCATGTGAACAGATCCTTTACATGTATATATATCTTCTATAGTTTGTTCTGTCCTTTAATTTTTAACTTTATTGGTATCTACAGCTGAATGCAGACAAAAGTCCTTTCCAGAGAACATATGCAAGCCAGGTGAAACTTGCTTCTGCTTCAAGCTTCAAAAACATGTTATTGTTACTTTTTGATTCCCAAATAAGAGATAAAATTGACTTCTGGAAGTTGATTTTTGCATTCTAATCTTTAAAACTGATATTGACTGTAAAAGAGATTGCAACTAATGTATTGATTGTTGCTTTATTTTGCTTCTGTTGTGAAGATCAAAAGATGTGGAGAAATGGCACGAAAGCTGCGGTTCTTCAAAGATCAAATGTCAAAGGCGGGTACCACATGGTCATTAAAACCTAATATATTAGCTGATATTCATCTGGATGATGTAGAGGTAAATATGTAATTTTATATGCATTCATATATTATTTATCCCTTAAAATAAATCAACCCTTATAATGGATATCTTTTTAGTTGAGACTTGGAGAACTTGAAGCAGAGCTAATTGAAATAAACACAAACAATGAAAAGTTGCAGCGTAGTTATAATGAGCTAACAGAATACAAGCTTGTTCTAATAAAGGTATACTTATTTTAATTCTATTTTTTTATGGCTTCAAATTAACAAGAAATTTAATCTGTTCTTCAGGCTGGAGAATTTTTCAAAGCTGCACAAACCAGTGCTACAGCTAAGCAAAGAGAGTTTTCATCAAATAAACTGCCTGCTGAATCTTTGACAATTCCTCTATTGAAGGATGATGTATATATATCCATATTTTACTTATATTATTATTTTTTATGATGACCTACCTTTTGATGTATATATGTAGGAATCAGAAAATGACCTAAGCAAACAAGTGAAATTAGGGTTTCTGACTGGGCTTGTGCCTAAAGAAAAAGCTATGGCTTTTGAGAGGATTCTATTTCGTGCTACAAGGGGTAATGTGTTTTTAAGACAGGCTCCTCTTGAAGAACCCGTGGTTGATCCTACTTCAGGACAGAAGGTTCAGAAAAATGTTTTTGCTGTTTTCTTTTCTGGAGAAAGAGTGAAGAGCAAAGTTGTTAAAATAAGTGACGCTTTTGGAGCAAATCGTTACCCTTTTGCAGAAGATCTTGGAAAACAATCACAAATATTAAAAGAGGTATCTGGAAGGATATCTGAGCTAAAGATGACAATACATGCTGGACTTTTGCACCAAGGCACTTTGTTACAAAAAATAGGAGAACAACACGAACATTGGAATCAAGTGGTATTATTATTATTATTATTATCATTATTAACTCAATTGTTAAATATGCTTAAAAGCATAGTAACAGTCACAAAAATTTCTTTCTTTTGATATGACAAGGTAAGGAAGGAGAAAGCAATTTATCACATTTTAAACATGCTGAGTATTGATGTGACAAAAAAGTGTCTTGTGGCTGAAGGGTGGAGCCCTGTATATGCAACCAAACGGGTCTGTTCTAACTTACATTCCACATTTTCTTGGATTTTTATTACTTTTATTGATTTCTCTAATATTTTTGTTAAACCTTATGGAATATAATTTTGCAGATTCGGCATGCACTTCGGAAGGCAGCAATTGACTCAAGCTCACAAGTTGGCTCCATATTCCGTGTTTTGCACACAAAAAAGTTACCTCCAACTTTTTTCCGAACAAATAAATTTACAGAGTCCTTTCAGGCAATTGTTGATGCAACTGGGTACAAATTCACAATATTAATATCATCACAACTTTTTTATTTATTCAATATTTCCATCTCTAAAAAAAATGTCCTGTTGTTTAAAAAAACAACAGGGTGGCTAGGTACCAAGAAGCAAACCCTGGAGTATACACTGTTGTCACATTCCCATTTCTGTTTGCTGTAATGTTTGGTGATTGGGGTCATGGTATATGCCTCCTTCTAGCAACTTTATATTTAATATCAAAGGAGAAGAAATTTTATGGTCAGGTAGCTAATTAACTAGAGTAAGATTAATTAATTAATTCATTTGTTTGTTTGTTTATGTATGTATGTATTTTTACAATAATAAAATTTTTAAATGTTACAGAAGCTTGGAGACATTGTGGAGATGACATTTGGTGGGCGTTATGTCATATTGTTGATGTCACTTTTCTCCATCTACACAGGATTGATATACAACGAGTTTTTCTCAGTTCCTTTTCAGTTATTTGGTCCTTCAGCCTACGCCTGTCGGGATGATTCTTGCAGGTGCTTTTCATAACACCGTTTCTGTATTTATTTTATTTTATTTTTTTATTTCAAAAAAATAAAATAAAATTTAGTCTGGTTTGATGCAGAGATGCTACGACTATAGGGTTGATAAAGGTGCGTGATACTTACCCATTTGGTGTGGATCCTGTATGGCATGGGACTCGTAGTGAGTTGCCATTTCTCAACTCATTGAAGATGAAAATGTCGATTCTTATTGGGGTAGCACAAATGAACCTTGGGATTATTTTGAGTTTTGTCAATGCCTTGTATTTCAGAAATAGCTTGAATATATGGTAAGTTTAATTTAATTTCTTACATAACATCTTGCAAATAGAATATTGATTTATAAAGTTTATGCAATTTCCAGGTTTCAATTTGTTCCACAGATGATTTTTTTGAATGGTCTGTTTGGATACCTTTCCCTTATTATAATCGCAAAGTGGTACACTGGTTCAAAAGCTGATTTATACCATATAATGATATACATGTTCCTAAGTCCCACTGATGATCTTGGTGAAAACCAGCTTTTTAATAACCAGAAGACAGTTCAGGTTGTAATTTTTAATTTTTAATTCTTGTCTTTGAGAATAATGTTTTCTTTATTTTTGATATAAATCATTTTGATTAATTATCACCAGATTGGGCTGCTACTACTTTCACTAATTGCAGTCCCATGGATGCTGTTCCCTAAGCCTTTCATTTTGAAATCACAACATAACCTGGTATGTACTACGAATCTAAGCTAATAAAAACTACAAAGCATACATTGGAAATTGGATCTTTTTTGATTTTTTGTTTGTGTTGTAGAGACACGGAGATATAGATGAGTATGAACTGCTGGAAGACATAGACAACTCTTTGCATGGAGAGGCTAATGTTGATTCGGAGGGTGATCATGAATTCGAGTTCAGTGAAGTATTTGTTCATCAACTCATCCATACAATAGAATTTGTTCTTGGGGCTGTATCAAATACAGCTTCATACCTTCGTTTATGGGCACTCAGGTATCAACTAATTAAGGCCCCCTGTTTACTTTTTTCCCCAATTATGCCTCAGTTTGGTTTGGTAAGATGAAATGGAATTATTGCAACCATTCTCTTCTTTCTTAGTTTGGCACATTCGGAGTTGTCAGCTGTATTCTACGAGAAGGTTCTTCTACTTGCATGGGGGTAATTAATTAATTAAGTTGATTCTGTTTATGGATCTCCATATATAATTATCGTTGTTACAAATTATAATTGTTTTTAAATTCGATTTATTTTCAGGTATAACAACGTTGTCATTCTCATCATAGGCATCGTTGTATTCATTTTTGCAACAGCAGGAGTGTTGCTAGTAATGGAAACCCTAAGTGCTTTCCTACACGCATTAAGACTTCACTGGGTGGAATTCCAAAACAAGTTTTACGGAGGAAACGGACATCAATTTCGTCCCTTCTCCTTTCAATTACTCGGTAACGAGGATGAATCAACTTAAATCAATCATATCACTCTTTTCAATTTCGAAATGTAATAATTCGTATATACATGTTGACTGTTTAAAAATAATAATATTTTGATTCATACCAGAATATTCAAACTAGTGACGATGGATTGCAGCAACAGTGGAGACCATGGAATCGACACCACAAACATTGTGACCCTTGCAGATCTTGTAATACCCGTTTTCACCCCAATTCTCTCCCCATGAGTTCTTGATAATCCAGTATGGCTTCTCCTTCAATCTGATGGGAGCATAACCAGAAGCACCATAACCAACTAATAACACACCATGGTCTAATCTCTTTGAGCATACAAACGGGCATGACACTCCCCCAATATACGTTTGCATATAAACCGCATTGATAGCAACTGCAAGAGGACCATGTTTGACCAGATTAGCAGCGATCTGGTTTTCGTCAAGTGAGACCACGCTGAAGTTGCTCACGGATGCTACGACTTTGGTTTTGTCGAATTTGCAGGTTCCATGGTCCTTGGCTGTGTAAGGGTAGTCCTTTTCTCTCATGAGTCCACCGGCTTTAAGAGTGTACTCAAATGCGCTGTTCATCAAACCTCCATTGCAGCCTGCGTCGCATGATCCTTTTTCTTCTGGATCACACTGTGTAGGATTAACGAGATTAAGTTTTTACGATAAATTTAAAACCAATAAATGGAGAATTAAATGAAATCTAAACGAATTAAAAATAAATCAAACCTCATGATCACAATCAACGAGTTGCTGCTCGCTAAGGCTCTCTAGCTTCCCTGTCGCAAGGAAATTCGCTCCTTCTAAAGCTCCGGTAGTACTAAACGACCAGCATGATCCACATGAACCCTAATTATCATCATCATCATTCCGAAAAACGACGTCAAATCCAACTTCGAGGTCAGATCATGTAAATGTATTTAAACTTTCGACTTAGATGACTGGATAGATTTACGGAAGAAAACAAAAATTAAGCACCTGATTCTTCACACCAGTAACGGCGCCATGATCTCGCCAATCGAAATCGTCTGGAAGATTATCGGTCGGAAGGATCGGAGCTTCGCTGGCATCGGCGGGGAACTTGAGACGAGACCTTAATCCGAGGTGTTTACTGAACTCCTCAGGCGTCATGTCAGAGAACTGAGTAACTCCGTGGACAGCCGAGGGATCAAGCTTCTGGTGGCGCTCAGCACGGCGCAGGTTAGACTTAAAAACTGATAACCTGTAATTGTGTTCCTCCTGGGATGCGTAGGATTTCATAAACTTGCGCTTGAAGGCACCGAAGTGCTCTTCCTCGGCATTTAACTGGTGATCTTCATCCTCCACCACCTGACGGATGAATATATCGCCTCCGGATTCATCGGCGGCGAAAGAGGTGGCAGCGACGCCGGCGATCAAAAGAGAAAAAGCAAGGAGGAGTGAGAATCGACGATCCATGAGAGAAGGAATATAAATGTAGATACAATGTGGTATGTGTATATATAGGCGGGATGTATAGCATTAGCAACAATGTAGGAAGCCTTCGCTATCGACGTGATGAGAACGGCAGTTGCTTGGAAGGGAACGGGGAAGTGGTCCCAGTGAGAACATGACACGTGGCAGAGTTTGATTGGTAGTAGTTGCGCGAATTGCTTCTCGTTCTAAATATTCAAAGATTATTACTATATAGAAATAGAAATAGAAATATAATAACATAAAAAAACCCATAGACCTAAACCAAAAAAATGTAAATTTGTAATTTAGTTTTTCTTTTAAACCATTTTATGAACCATTAAAAGAAAGTATTGATGGCGTGACAAGAAAAGAATATCCTTAAATACAAACATTTTCAATGAAAGAGTGTCGCACGTAATGGCCGATTGGCCATGACTATGATGACTTCTATTATATCATACAGAGTAAAGATAACAAAAGAAGTATTTTATATTTTCTAATTACATAAAAACAATAGTTTAAAATAGTCGATCAAAATGTACTTTTAATCCGTATGTCTTCTTAGATTGTTCTGCTAAAAAAGTTTCAAACTAAAGAAATTGAAAAAAATATTAAAAAATAAAAAATTAAACCTAAAGAAACCAAACTAACAGTCGATTCTTATACACTATTACTAATTTTCGTTTTAATGATATTTAAAATGAGAACCTCTTCATCTGTTTGATATAAACCAAAGTCATATTGAGTACAGTTTAATGCATTTTGAAGCTTAGAAGTCTTTATTAGGTTGCTTTAGGGGAACAATTTAGTTGATACATTCACTACGCTTAACTCTCAAGCCAAAACCACAAGATTGCAATTGCACTCAAATTTAAAAGGGATATACATCAACTTTTAAAAATCTAAATCCGACAAAAAAAAAAAATCCCAATGCTACTGAACTTGTTTTTTTTTTTTTTTTTTTCATTGCTACTGAACTTGAACAGATGATTAAAACATGTTTAGGTATAGAGTTCAAACTCGTATTTGTAGATATGTTAGATGGTTAAAATTCATAGTTAGTGAAATTAGGGAACTTGAATTTATTAAATGTGGGAGGAACATATTACGTAAATATACACTACAAAAGACGATACTTTTCAAAATGCTAAAATATGTATTAACTTTGCGAAGAAGAAGATGAAATGATCACCTTGCGTTGATGAAAACAAATATAGACTTTATACAAAGCTAAAGGTACGCTACTAAAGCTATCATTCAACATTCTCCAACTAACTTTAACATTCTCTAAGCCAGGAGGATAGGGCGTATCTACTTATGCCAAAGTTACGTTTTGGGACTTATCTAAATTTTCAATTTCGTTTAAAATATATATAGTAGAAAATTTGAAAGTTATCTTTGAAAAAATAAAGGACCTATCTTAAGTTTGTTTTTTTTAAATCTCTTAAAAAGACAATTTAAAAAAGAGAAAAAATAAGTTACTAGAGCCGGATAGCCGGATAGGTAAGAAGTGGTGTCACACTTGTTTTTTTTTTTTTAATAAATAAAAAGTTTAATTTAACTAAAAACATAATATTTCATTAATTAAAGATAAAAAACCATTACATTGCATTACATGAAAAAAAACATAACACCACATTAAAAAAAATCATAACGACTTAGAAAAAAAAAAACTAGAAATATTAAACGTACAAACTTGAAAAAAAAACATACCAGACGATTTAAAAAAAATCCTACTTAACATAACGTTTTTTTAGGTCGTTTTTCATCGTCATAGCAATTTCTAGCTCCTCTCCGATTAGGTTCGACTTGTCCATCGTTAGTATTTTCAAGTCAATTTCCCTTTGTTTCTTAAGCTCTCTTTCGGAAGCAATTTGCAAAATTTTGTCCATTCTATCTTTTATACCCTTCATATCGTCCCCGATTTCTTTTAAATGATCTGAATCTGATGCTTTACATTTGCCTTTGTTTTTTGTTTTGTCCATTCCCATTGGCCGGGAAGGTGGTGAAATTTGAACAGGTTCATCATCGTTGAGGTCGAAACCCACGAGCATCGGTTGTAGTGTGTTCGGATTCGGATGTTCTTGACCATTTTGAACCACTATCGATATGTTCGTCGGATGTTTTGTTGAATTGCCAATTTTTGTTATCTTTGACGAGATTCCAAACTTCAAAAAACTTGAAAGGCTTCTTGTTTTCTTTTTGGTAGACTTTTAGAGCTTTGTGGAAAATCACATCATCACTTTCTCCGCTTTTCCAGTGACGTTTCATGTTGTTATACAAATCGTTAAACAACATGACTTCCTTGTTCATCTTCCCCCATTTCGAGTAAACTTGGTGTTTTGAACGATACTCTCCTACATTCATTCCTTTGTGGAACCTATGTCTAACTCGCATCCAAAAACGGTCATGTTTCTGGTCTTTGCCAGTCTTCGCATCTTCTGAAATATCGATCCATGATTGTGAAATGCCCCAAATTTCAACCCAAAATTTTCAATTAAAACTTTAAGTGTTTATTCAATTCACAACTACAATATCTTAAAACATTTATCAGAGTCTCATTTAAAAGTTATTATGTACACAAATCTCAATTGATGCAATGCAATCAAGTCGTGCCCCTTCTCTATTATAAAAAACCTAAAACATTTAAACCACAAATCGTAAGCACAAAGTGTTGGGTTTTTATTCATAAATCCGATTTCACAAACGGTAAAAACGGAAACGAAAGCTTTAAAATTGTTGAATAAACCAAAACTATTTTAACCCGCCAATGATCTTTTGCAGGACTTAGAAAGATAAAAAAAACAGCCATAGAAAGAAAAGTGTTACAACCTTTGAAGACTTTGATTCTCATGAGAGATTGGAAGATGATGAAGTATGACATGAAACTTCAAGGTAGAAGTTCTCTAGAGATATCCACCAACAATAAATCAACTTGATAAGATGCTAGTCTTCTTTTTGTAATAAAAGAATATGTTAAGCTCTTAAGACAAAGAAACTAGTTTGTCTTCAAATAGAGTATTCAAGTATCATCTTCATCTTTATGTTCTTAACACTTTAAGCGACAAAAACTAAAGAGAATATGGAGATAGGAAGCACAAAATTTCATGACTTTTAGCTAGTAAAAGAAGAAATACATGCAAGTCTTTTAATCATCTTAATCCAAGTCCTTACCCATTGAGTCTTGATACTTTAATACACTATGCATCTAGCAACAAAAGGCTACAAGTGTAAGAACATGGTTTTATGATTAAATAAAAGCAAACATGTCTTCTTTTCCCTTTATTGTCTCCTTGAATAAGAAGAAGCTAGTTTTTCTATAAAAAAAACTCTTCTAATTTTTATAACTTATAAAACATATAAATCCATATAAGACAAAAACCCCTTTTGGTCCAAAAAGATGTACATGACATAATAAACCATACATTATGATATATTATGATATATTTTGATACTTAACATTGAAAATTAATATTTCGATGAAATAAATAATTTCCAATTAATCAAATGATATATATATTTATTTATCAAGTATCAAATTCTTATAAATAATATATTTTCATCAAGTTGTTGTTAGTATGACCCTATATGATCATATGTTATTAGCAATATCATTATATAATGACTCTTGGGCATACAAGATCTTTCAATCTTCCACTTGTACAAGACTCATCATAGATTGTGGTGAACGTCTAACAACATTTCACTGCCCCCAAATAACACATGACGAAGAATGCCATTCATCAACATCCAATTCCCAAAAGCCTCAAGCTTCAATTGATGTATTAAGTTAAGTTTATCAGTTATCCCTTTGTTACAGACATCTTGTTGAACATGGGACTTGGATCACAATCAATCTCATTTGGTGTTCAACTTTGGGTAACGCACGTTAGATGGCTAACTCTCAACACATAAGAGGAAAAAATCTCATCTTGACTACATAAGTCTCTTGCATAGTTCACACCATACCTGAAAATGGCTTTTATAACTGCCTGGTTAATGATCAACATTTGACCATATCAAAGCACAACACCCCCTATACTTAAGTCCCACTATGTATCTAAGGTGTTAAGGATACAAATATAGTACCTTTTAATCAAGTATCACTCATAACTGCGATCTATGAGTTGATCTTGATGTAGGTCCGTTCAATACTAGTTCTCTAACAAGTACCTATGAAACTTGGTTACAACCACTTGCCTACTTTCATCTGGTGAGAGTCAACCAATCTAATTCATATTAGTCTTACTTCATAACTGCTCCCACAATCATGACCGACTATGAACTTTTAGAATAATAAGATTATTCACGGATTTAACATGTTAATATAGAACACAACAAGTATTGAAGTAATTATCATATCCCAATATATCATAAACAATATAATACTTGCTGTCTTAATGTTCCAATATCAAAATACTAAATTCAAATTACAACCCATTTCTAGAATAATGAAGTCCTATAGCTGAAGTGTGACCATTCATACTTAGCTTAAAAGAAAGGACTTTATTAATGGGTCTGACTAAATTTAATTTGTGTGAATTTTACGAATACTATCATCTCCATATTTGACTTTACTCTAAGTATACTTAAATATCTTGGAGAATATGATTGGTGCTCTGATGTGACATAGAGTTTCTTAGCTTGATTAAGTGAACTCTCGAAGTCACAAAGATTTTTATGTGATCCTTGAATGGCATAAATCAACATAGTTTTTCAATGGACTCATTCATCCAATCATATTTGACTTCAACTTTAAAAGTTGTGTATACTTATTTTGTAGTAGATTGTGTCATTATGTTTTGCTTGGACCTCATTCCAACTAAGCTTACTCTTCATTCCACAATGAAGTCATAACCTAATTATAATTCATAATTATCTATATTTATTTAGAAATCAAAATCATATGTAGCTCTTTACATTAAGATTTTATTCTAAACTAATTATCTCATATACATTCTCTTAGCTCTTCTTAAGTACTCTTAGAATGTTCTCACAGTCAACTAGTGACTTAACCATGTATTCA